GTGCCTTAAAAAGGGTTTTTGTGGCCCTTCCCAGGGCTGGCGGCGGGGGGTGGTTGCTAGGGGGGGGGGTGGGGGGGGTGGGGGGAAGGGGATTTTTTAGCCAGGGGGAGTGGGTTTTGAAGTTGCTTTTTTGGCGTTGGGCTTGGGAGGGGGTGTTTCCCCGTCCGCCCCGGAAAGGGCCATACCCCTCCTTGCTGGGGGGGGGCGGGTTCTTTTCACCGGGGGGGGGGGGGGGGGGGTGAGTCTTGTGACCGTGGGAGATCGGTCAGCGGCTCGGGATAAGCGGTTGGTCTCTTGAGAGTACTTGTTGCTGAACGGGAATCACCCGAGGAAAAACAACTGTTGTCCTGAAGGTTTGGTTCTTATCACAAGAGACTTCGTCCCTCTCACGACAAAACTCTCTCATCCATGGCCGTACCTGTTGCCGCCGCCGCCGCCGCCACCTCCTCTACTGCTCCTGCTGCTGCTGCTGCTCACAGCAGTACCACCGCCATTGTTTGCTGTCCTCACCGCTGTGAGACGTGGTCCCTCTCACGACTACACTCTCATCTGTCACTCCGTACTTGTTGCCGCCGCCACTGTTGCTGTCCTCGCCGCTGCTGACTGCGCCGTTCCCTCCGTTTCCGGTCTTCTGACTTCGACCCCACCACACCAACAACACCAACAACAACAACACCGCGCCACCTTTTCGCCAACAGCCCAGGCGGAGCTGGCGCTCGAGGGCAAGACGTACTCTCGGATCAACATCCCCATGTGGCTGGGTGGTGCGATTGCCGTCGGTTGGGCCACGATCCTCGTGGTCTCCATCTCAGCCTTCCCGGGGTCCGGGCTGGGTGGTCTCTTCAAGGCCTTCTTCAGGATCGGTTCCATCATCTACGGGGGCGGGCAGGCGAGTTTTGGTGTACGTGCGGAGGCTTTTTTTTTTTGTGTGTGGGCGTGCGGAAGGCGGCCGAGTAGGTTTTGGACCAGCGTGGGTGGTGTAGGAGGTGCTGAGTAGAGACCGGAACGCTTTTCTCTTTGACGACAAGGACAGCATGAACAGTCAGCACCGGCAGCATGGAGGGCCGCCCCCGTCCGCAGCATCAACAGCATGGAGGACCACCCCCGCACCTGCCTGGAGGACCGCCTCCGCATCTTCCCGGAGAACCGCTTCCGCACATACCGGGCGGACAAGCTGATCACGTCCCAGGAGGGCCACTTCCTCCCATGGCTTAGGACGCCCTCTCCACCCACCCCGCCACCCAGGCCGGGCACCTCCTCACCTTTCGGGAGGCCCGCCTCCTCAACAGCCCGGAGGGCCTCCTTCTCCTCAGCACGGAGAACCTGACCCCTCATTACCAACGTGCAGGAGGGCCTCCCCGGCACAATGAAGGTCTCCACCGGCAAGGAGGTTTCCACCGGCAAGGAGGTCTCTACCAGCAAGGAGGTCTCCGCCAGCAAGGAGGCTTCCACCCAGCCCCCTTCTTCCTGCCCACCAGCTCGGAGCGTTCCAGCTGCATTCGAACCACCAGCCCGGGGGACTCCATCATCCGCCCTACCAGTGGAGCGGCTTC